GGGGAAGGGGGAAAGGGGAGAGGATGGGAAAGGGGGAGAAAAGGGGGGAGGGAGGGGGGGGAAAGGAGGATGGGGGGAGAGAGGGGGGGAAAGGGAGGGGGGGGAAAGGGGGGAAGGAAAGGGGGGGGGGGGAGAGAGGAGGGGAAGGGGGGGGAAAGGGAGAGGGGGAGGGGAGGGGGGAGGGGGAAAGGGGAGGGAAGAGAGGGGGGGGAGAGGAGGGGGGAGGAGAGAGGAGGGGAGGGAGGGAGAAGGGGAGGGAAAGAGGATGGGGGGGGGAGGGGAGAGGGGAAGGGGGAGTGGAAAATTTCATGAGGGGGCCCAAAAAAAGAAAAAGGGGGGTATGTATGGTGAGGAAGGGGAGGGGGGAGGGGAAAATTTGGGAAAGAAGGAAAGAAAATAAATGGAAGGGAAAAGAAAGAGGAAAAAGAAAGAAAAAAAAGGGGAAAGAAAAATAAAAGAAAAAGGGGGGAGGGGGGAAAGGGAAAAAAAAAAATAGGAAAGAAAAAAAAAAAAAAAGAGAGAAAAAGGGGGGTTTAAAGGGGAAGGAAGGAGAAGAAGGAAGAGGGGAGAGGGGAGGGAAGGGGATAATAAAATTCCCCAAGGGGCTGGGGAAAAACCTAGAAGGCGGGGGGGGTGGGTTGTTGGGGCGGAAAAACTATTAAGGTTTAAAAGGGGGCGGGAAGAGGGGGGGGGGGGTGGGTGGGGGGTTTGGGCGGGGGGTGGGTCGGAGGGGCGGGAGGGAGAGGGGGAAAGGGAGGGGGCCGGGGGGGGGAGCGGGTGGAGTTTGGGAAAGGGAGGGAAAAAAAAAGGGGAGCGGGAAAAAAGGATGGGGGAGAAAAGGGGGTTGTGGGTCAAAACGGGTTTCAGAGAGAGGGGGGGGAGGGGGGGGGAAGAAAAAGAAAAAAGATTTAAAATTTAAAAAGTAGGGGATCGAGGGGGGGAATGGGAAAAAGGAAAAATGGAAAAAGGCCGGGAGCCTGAAAAAGCGGGGGGGGACGGGGGGGGGAGGGAGACGAAACAGGGAGGGGCGTAAACGAGCGAAAAGAGGGTCTGCGTCCCAAATGGAAAAAAAAAACCCCAAAAAAAACCCCAAAAATAACCCCAAAAAGGCGCCCGGAAAAAAAACCCTATCCCAAAAAGGGTTTTTCCAAAAAGGGTGGGGGAGATCCAGGATGTTCATTGGATAGATTGGGGCCCTTGGTTCCTGATAAAACCATGAAAAGGGAGGGGGAGAAGGAGGGGGGCCGAGATAGTGAGGGAGGAGCACCCGGGCGCGGGGGGAAAACTCAACCCTGTTTTTGAATAAGGGGGGGTGGAAGGAGGGGGGGGCCCAAAAACAAGGGTTTCCCAAAAAAAAGGGGCCGGGGTGACCGCAACCCAAACCCCCGGAACCCAACCAAACAAACCCCCAAAAAACCAAAAAAAAATAGAACCCCCCCAACCCCTAAACCCCAAAAGCCCAAAAAACGCGAATTTTTAAACCCCCTTTAAAAAAACCCCCAAAGGCCCAAAAATACCCCTTTTTCCTTTGGGGGGACCGGCCAAAAAACTTTTTTTTTATACCCTTTGGTGGGGAAATTTCAAAAAGAAAGAAAAAAAACCAAAAAAAAAACAAAGGAAACAACCCCTCTTGGCGGTTTTATGGGTGGGAAAAGGGGGAAAAAAATCCCTATTTCTCTTCTTCTTCCCCGCTTTTTCCTCTCTTTCTCTCTCTCTCTCTCTCTCTCACACAACACACACACTCATTCTGGGCTCTTCAGTCAGTATTATGGCTGAAGAAAGAGAGCGAGGAGAGGCCGAGGAGAGGAGCATCATGGGTCAAAGTGTTATTATGACACCCTCTCATACAGAGTTTGTGTTCCAATTAGCACCCTTTTCCCCATGTAGTGCACTACCATTGACCCTAGCCTATAGGGTGGCATAGAGCGCTGTGCTGTAAGTAGCTAGCTGAGAGAGATGAGCACATAGCCCGCTACTCACTTCTGCTGCTTTGATGGGCTTACAGAGGTTAGAGAGGCTCAACAGGGATGGAGGGAGGAAGAAGGGGGAGAGAGAGAGGGGCAGGGCTATACTAGGAGAGAGTCATGAGAGGAAATATGAAGGAGAAGAGATAAAAAGAAAATGTCTGCATCCCAAATGGCATCCTATTCCCTTCATAGTGTGCTACTTTTGTCCAGGACCATAGACCAGGGAATAGGGTGATGGTCCCTGGTCAAAAGTAATGCACTATACAGTATAGGGAATAGGGTGCCATATGGAATGCATTTTGGATGCTGAGAGAGAGAAAATGGGATATTAGGGAAGGGTCAGTGGAGGAAAAGGATGAAGGATGATGAAATGGTTGGGAGATGTAGAAAGAGTGTAGTTGAAGAGGGTTTAATTGAGAAGAATGGCTGGCTAAGTGCTGTGAAGAGGCTTTAAATATGAATGTTCTTGTACACTACAGTATGTACACTACCAGTCAAAAGTTTTAGAACACATACTCATTCAAGGGTTTTTCTTTATTTTCTACTATTTTCTACATTGTAGAATATTAGTGAAGATATCAAAACTATGAAATAACACATATGGAATCATGTAGTAACCAAAAAAGTGTTAAACAAATCCAACTATATTTTATATTTGTGATTATTCAAATTGCCACCCTTTGCCTTGATGACAGCTTTGCACACTCTTGGCATTCTCTCAACCAGCTTCATGAGGTAGTCACCTGGAATGCATTTCAATTAACAGGTCTGCCTTCTTAAAAGTTAATTTGTGGAATTTCTTTCCTTCTAAATGCGTTTGAGCCAATCAGTTGTGTTGTGACAAGGTAGGGGGGTATACAGAAGATAGTCCTATTTGGTAAAAGACCAAGTCCATATTATGGCAATAACAGCTGAAATAAGCAAAGAGAATTGACAGTCCATCATTACTTTAAGACATGAAGGTCAGTCAATACGGAACATTTCAAGAACTTTGAAAGTTTCTTTAAGTGCAGTCTCAAAACCGATCAAGCGCTATGATTAAACAGGCTCTCATGAGGACCGCCACAGGAATGGAAGACCCAGAGTTACCTCTGCTGCAGAGGATAAGTTCATTAGAGTTACCAGCCTCAGAAATTGCAGCCCAAATAAATGCTTCACAGAGTTGAAGTAACAGAAATCTCAACATCAACTGTTCAGAAGAGACGGCGTGAATCAGGCCTTCATGGTCAAATTGCTGCAAAGAAACCACTACTAAAGGACACCAATAAGAAGAAGAGATTTGCTTGGGCCAAGAAACACGAGCAATGGACTTTAGACCGGTGGAAATATGTCCTTTAGTCTGGAGTCCAAATTTGAGATTTTTGGTTCCAACCGCCGTGTCTTTGTGAGACACGGTGTGGGTGAACGGATGATCTCTGCATGTGTATTTCCCACCGTAAAGAATGGAGGAGGAGGTGTTATGCTGTGGGGGTCCTTTGCTGGTGACACTGTCTGTGATTTATTTAGAATTCAATGCACACTTAATCAGCATGGCTACCACAGCATTCTGCAGCGATACGCCATCCCATCTGGTTTGGGCTTAGTGGGACTATCATTTGTTTTTCAACAGGACAATGACCCAACACACCTCCAGGCTTTGTAAGGGCTATTTGACCAAGAAGGAGAGTGATGGAGTGCTGCATCAGATGAGCTGGCCTCCACAATCCCCCGACCTCAACCCAATTGAGATGGTTTGGGATGAGTCAGAAGGCAGAGTGAAGGAAAAGCAGCCAACAAGTGCTCAGCATATGTGGGAACTCTTTCAAAACTGTTGGAAAAACATTCCAGGTGAAGCTGGTTGAGAGAATGCCAAGAGTGTGCAAAGCTGTCATGAAGGCAATGGGTGGCTGCTTTGAAGAATCTCAAATGTAAAATATATTTTGATTAGTTTAACACTTTTTTGGTTACTACATGATTCCATATGTGTTATTTCATAGTTTTGATGTCTTCACTATTATTCTACAATGTAGAAAATAGTAAAAATAAAGAAAAACCCTTGAATGAGTAGGTGTTCTAAAACTTTTGACCGGTAGTGTAAGTGTAAGGGCTATTGATCAGCTGATGGGATCAATTTGTCTGCATTGAATTGGATGTAGCCCTGGTCAAAAGTAGCGCACTATATAGGGAATAGGGTGCCATTTGGGATGCAGACATAATCTACATGTATGTACTCCTGAGTGGCGCAGTGGTCTAAGGCACTGCATCGCAGTGCTAACTGTGCCACTAGAGATCCTGGTTCGAATCCAGGCTCTGTCGCCGCCGGCCGCGACCGGGAGACTCATGGGCGGCGCACAATTGGCCCAGGGTAGGGGAGGGAATGGCCGGCAGGGATGTAGCTCAGTTGATAGAGCATGGCGTTTGCAACGCCAGGGTTTTGGGTTCGATTCCCACGGGGGGCCAGTATAAAAAAAAAATGTATTCGCTAACTGTAAGTCGCTCTGGATAAGAGCGTCCGCTAAATGACTAAAATGTAATGTATCATTATGGTGGATCCACAGATTCTAAATGTTCCCTGCGTGGGTGAATGAGAAAGAGATAAAGAGAAATATTCTCCATATTACAGAAATATTACTCAGTCAGCCAGTGATATTTACTGTATCTCGAATGTAAACTCATTGCTTTTCATACAGTGGTAGTAAGTAGTACATCATTATTATATGCAATGACAGTTAAAACGAGTACCCATGGTGACAATATGTGTGTGTCTGCATCGTGTGTGTGTGTGTGCATCTCTCTATCTGTGTGTGTCTGTCCTCATTTGTGTGCATCTGCGTCCCTACGTGTGTGTGGTGTGTGTGTGCATCTCTCTATCTGTGTGTGTCTGTCCTCATTTGTGTGCATCTGCGTCTCTACGTGTGTGTGGTGTGTGTGTGCATCTCTCTATCTGTGTGTGCCTGCGTATGTGCATCCAGGTCGCCCTGATGTGGTGGAGTCTAACCCTGATGAGCCGACCTACACAGTGATCAGTGAGCTGACTCTGACGGTGGGCCGAAGCGACGACAATGCTCTGATTGCCTGTGCTGTAGACCACCCTTCTCTGGCCCCTGGGGACAAGAGGAGCGAGCAACCCATTAGAGTCCTGTGTAAGTGCTGCCCCCACTCGCCAAGGCCTGCCACTGCAACCACATGTACTTTCAGGTCCATAATTATTGGCACCCTTGATAAAGATGAGCAAAAAAGACTGTAAATAATACATCATATAAACACTGAGCTACATAGTTTGCTAAATAAAAGTGGGAAATTATATTATTTTATAATTATACAATTACTCAGAGAAAGAGATTTTAACAAATAACAGAAACAAATCTCTAAAAGATTGGGGTCAAAATTATTGCCACCCCTGTTTTTAACACGCTAGCACCCTTCCCTTGCGAGCATAACGACACTGAGACTTTTTCTAGAACATTGGAAGGGATCTTAGACTATTCCTCCGTACAGAATCTTTCCAGATCCTTGATATCCTTCGTCTGCTCTTATGGACTGCCCTCTTCAAATCAAACCACAAGTTTTCAATGGGGTTCAAGTCCGGTGACTGAGATGGCCATTGCAAAATGTTGATTTTCTGGTCAATTAACTATTTCTTTGTGGATTTTGATTAGTGCTTGGGGTTGTCGTCTTGCTGGAAGATTCACTTGCGGTCAAGGTTTTGGGCTAAAATGTCCTGGTAAAGATGCCGTTGACCTTAACCCTAGTCCTGAGATCCCAGCAAAAATCTGCTTTTCATTTATCTGACTTTCATTTATCTGCATGTCCAGTTCTTATATTTAGACTCACAACCAAGTGTTTTACCATTTTATTTTCAGGACAACCAGGGCTACAACTAGATCACAAATTAGACATAAACAGTTGCATTCATGAGTTTTATTGACAAATGTCCCAAAGAAAAGAATTTATATGAATGCAGTAAGTACAGAAATGGTTTGCTCACTGGGAAATTAATATCCAATTAGTCAGTGACAACTGTGTGGAGTTTGGAGTTTGTGACAGCAACTATGTGAGCTTATTACAGTATTATAGACACTATGTCCTGGGATTTCCTATGATCTTCTATGATCTTCTATGTAGAAGAACTCCTTACCTTCTAACAACTCTTGTGTAGCTTGTAAGAGTCTCAGCTTTTCATAGATAGATTGTAATAGTTTATAGCTCAAACCATTCTGACTCTACAGACATTTTTGTAAAAAGACCCGGCCCCGGGCTCCTTTGGGATCCGCCCTTGTCTCACAAACACTGCTCTAGCTCAGCCCCCGTTAATCACACAGACTAATGAATGTAGCTCAAACACACAATGTTTAAAAGAGGTTAGAAACCCAAATGAGCCTGCGTTACGGTGGGACTCATTGGATTAGCAAGGTCCCCAGGACCAGTGGAAGCAAAATAGCCCCATAACATCAAAGATCTACAACCATATTTTACCGTTGGTATGAGATAACTTTCTGCATATGCTTCTGTTTTATTTGTATAAAATGTTTTTGTGGTATTTTACCCCCTTTTTCTCCCCAATTTTGTGATATCCAATTGCGATCCAGTCTCATCGCTGCAACTCCCCAATGGGCTCGGGAGAGGCGAAGGTTGAGTCATGCGTCCTCCGAAACATGACCCGCCAAACCGCGCTTCTTAACACCCGCCCGCTTAACCCAGAAGCCAGCTGCACCAATTTGTCGGAGAAAACACTGCCCAACTGACGACCGAAGTCATCCTGCAGGCGCCTGGCCCACCACAAGGAGTCGCTATAGCGCGATGAGCCAAGTAAAGCCCCCCTGGCCAAACCCTCCCCTAACTCGGACGACGCTGGGCCAATTGTGTGCCGCCCTATGGGATTCCCGGTCACGGCCGGTTGTGACACAGCCTGTGATCGAACCTGGGTCCGTAGTGACGCCTCAAGCGCTGTGATGCAGTGCCTTAGACCGCTGCGCAACTCGGGAGGCTATGCTTCTGTTTTTCAATGCCAAACCCACCACTGGTGTGCGTAGCCAACGAGCTCTGTCGTCTGAACATAGCACCGCCAGGAGTTGATAAACGGCATTGTCACTTGGATTGGAACCAGTGCTATGGTCAGATTACATGAAAATAGAGCTCTTTGACCATGCACACCAGGAGTTGGATATCAAGAAGGATATCAAGGATCTGGAAATGGAGGAATGGTCTAATATCCCTCCCAACATGTTCTCCAATCTTATAAAACATTTTAGAAAAAGGCTCAGTGTCGTTATCCTCGCAAGGGGAGGGTGCTGTAATATTGAAAACAGGGTTGCCAATAATTTTGACCCCTGTCTTTTTTAGATATTTATTATTACTTAAACAACATAAAAAAAATTCTGAGCAATGATACATGATAACATACGCACGATACACACACGTACACATGGATTTTGTGTTGTAGATATGTGGTAGTAGAGTAGTGGACTGAGGGTACACACTTAATGTGTTGTGAAATCTGCTGGACCCCAGGAAGAGTAGCTTCTGCCTTGGCAACCCTACCCATATGCCTTTCCTACTGCTGGTCATACCTATACTGCCACCTGCAGGGGACATACAGTACCAGTCAAAAGTTTTAGAACACCTACTCATTCAAGGGTTTTTCTTTATTTTCACTATTTTCTACATTGTAGAATAATAGTGAAGACATCAAAACTATAAAATAACACATATGGAATCATGTAGTAACCAAAAAAGTGTTAAACAAATCAGAATATATTTTATATTTGAGATTCAAATTGCCACCCTTTGCCTTGATGACAGCTTTGCACACTTTTGGCATTCTCTCAACCAGCTTCACCTGGAATGCTTTTCCGACAGTCTTGAAGGAGTTCCCACATATGCTGAGCACTTGTTGGCTGCATTTCCTTCACTCTGCTGTCCGACTCATCCCAAACCATCTCAATTGACTTGAGGTCGGGGGATTGTGGAGGCCAGGTCATCTGATGCAGCACTCCATCACTCTCATTCTTTGTAAAATAGCCCTTACACAGCCTGGAGGTGTGTTGGGTCATTGTCCTGTTGAAAAACAAATTATTCTCCCACTAAGCCCAAACCAGATGGGATGGCGTATCGCTGCAGAATGCTGTGGTAGCCATGCTGGTTAAGTGTGCCTTGAATTCTAAATAAATCACAGACAGTCTCACCAGCAAAGCACCCCCACACCATAACACCTCCTCCATGATACAGTGGGAAATACACATGCGGAGATCATCCGTTCACCCACACCGCGTCTCACAAAGACACAGCGGTTGGAACCAAAAATCTCCAATTTGGACTCCAGACCAAAGGACATATTTCCACTGGTCTAATGTCCATTGCTCGTGTTTCTTGATCCAAGCAAGTCTCTTCTTCTTATTGGTGTCCTTTAGTAGTGGTTTCTTTGCAGCAATTCGACCATGAAGGCCTGATTCACACAGTCTCCTCTGAACAGTAGATGTTGAGATGTGTCTGTTACTTGAACTCTGTGAAGCATTTATTTGGGCTGCAATTTCTGAGGCTGGTAACTCTAATTAACTTATCCTCTGCAGCAGAGGTAACTCTGGGTCTTCCATTCCTATGATGGTCCTCATGAGAGCCAGTTTCATCATAGCGCTTGATGGTTTTTGCGATTGCACTTGAAGAAACGTTCAAAGTTCTTGAAATGTTCTGTATTGACTGACCTTCATGTCTTAAAGTAATGATGGACTGTCGTTTCTATTTGCTTATTTGAGCTGTTCTTGCCATAATATGGACTTGGTATTTTACCAAATAGGGCTATCTTCTGTATACCACCCCTACCTTGTCACAACTCAACTGATTGGCTCAAACGCATTAAGAAGGAAAGAAATTCCACAAATTAACTTTTGAGAAGGCACACCTGTTAATTGAAATGCATTCCAGGTCACTAAATCATGAAGCTAGTTGAGAGAATGCCAAGAGTGTGCAAAGCTGTCATCAAGGCAAAGGGTGGCTATTTGAAGAATCTCAAGTATAACATAATTTGATTTGTTTAACACCTTTTTGGTTACTACATGATTCCATGTGTTATTTCATCGTTTTGATGCCTTCACTATTATTCTACAATGTAAAAAATAGTACAAATAAAGAAAAACCCTTAAATGAGTAGGTGTGTCCAAACTTTTGACTGGTAGTGTATGTGACAGTGATGTATTATTGTTTTTCCAGTCACCCCAGATGTCACTATCCAGCCTGAGAGTGATCTGCCCAGAGAGGGAGGGAAGTTCCACCTGCAGTGCATTGCCACCGGAAACCCTGAGTAAGACACACACACACACACACAAGCAAACACCCCTACACATACTCTCATGAACAACACATACACAAACATACACTGCAGGTTCTGTGCTGCATTATAGATGAACCTGCCTTGGACCAGTCAGTCTATTGATCGGCTCCTCTCCTCTCGTCCTCCTGTCTACCCCTTTCTCCCCCTCTCATTCTCTGTCTCCCCCCTGCATCCCAAATGGCACCCTATTCCCCATAAGGCTCTGGTCAGAAGTAGTACACTATCTAGAGAATAGGGTGCCATTTGGGATGCACCCTACAGTGCATTCGGAAAGTATTCAGACCCCTTTACTTTTTCCACATTCAAATGGATTTTAAAAAAAAAATCCCTCATCAATCTACACACAATACCCCATATAAAAAAGCAAAAACAGGTTTTTAGAAATGTTTGTCAATTTATAAAAAATAAAAAAAGTACTCAGTACCTTGTTGAAGAATCTTTGGCAGCGATTACAGCCTTGAGTCTTCTTGGGTATGACGCTACAAGCTTGGCACACCTTTTTTGGGGGAGTTTCTCCCATTCTTCTCTGCAGATCCTCTCAAGCTCTGTCAGGTTGGATGGGGAGCGTTGTTTTCAGGTCTCTCCAGAGATGCTTGATCGGGATCAAGTCCGGGCTCTGGCTGGACCACTCAAGGGAATTCAGAGACTTGTCCCGAAGCCACTCCTGTGTTGTCTTGGCTGTGTGCTTAGGGTCGTTGTCCTGTTGGAAGGTGAACCTTCGCCCCAGTTTGAGGTCCAGTGCGCTCTGGAGCAGGTTTTCATCAAGGATCTTTCTATACTTTGCTCCGTTCATCTTTCCCTCGATCCTGACTAGTCTCCCAGTCCCTGCCACTGAAAAACATCCCCAAAGCATGATGCTGACACCACCATGCTTCACCGTAGGGATGGTGCCAGGTTTCCTCCAGACGTGACACTTGGCATTCAGGCCAAAGAGTTCAATCTTGGTTTCATCAGACCAGAGAATCCTGTTTCTCATGGTCTGAGAGTCTTTAGATCCCTTTTGGTAAACTCCAAGCGGGCTGTCATGTGCCTTTTACTGAGGAGTGGCTTCCGTCTGGCCACTCTACCATAAAGGCCTGACCAAGGCCTGACCAAGGCCCTTCTCCCCCGATTGCTCAGTTTGGCAAGAATGATGGAGGCCACTGTGTTCTTGGGAACCTTCAATGCTGCATACATGTTTTGGTACCCTTCACCAGATCTGTGCCTCGACTCAAACCTGTCTCTGAGCTCTACAGACAATGTCTTCGACCTAATGGCTTGGTTTTTGCTCTGACATGCACTGGCAACTGTGGGACCTTAAATAGACAGGTGTGTGCCTTTCCAAATCATGTCCAATCAATTTAATTTACCACAGATAGACTCCAATGAAGTTGTAGAAACATCTCAAGGATGATCAATGGAAACAGGATGCACCTGAGCTCAATTTTCGAGTCTCATAGCAAAGGGTCTGAATACTTATGTAAATAAGGTATTTTCTGTTTCTAAAAACCTGTTTTCACTTTGACATTATGGGGTATTGTGTGTAGATTGATGAGGAAAATTTTTAATGTAATCAATTTTAGAATAAGGCTGTAACGTAACAAAATGTGGAAAAAGTGAAGGGGTCTGAATACTTTCCAAATGCACTGTATGTCTCCCTCTATCTCCCCATCACTGATCTCTCTCTCACCCTGTCACTCACACTCACTCAACTCAATGTCTTTTCTGTCACAGCCTTGTCGAATCTTCCCGTCTTCCTTCTCGTCCTCACCAATAATTCTCTTCTATCTTGCTTTGCACCTTTTCCGCCCCCATCCTCCCCCATCCCTCCTCTCTTTGCTCTCCTTTAAGGTTATGCGTCAGCCTGTCACAGCCTCTCCAGTCACAGAATGCGTCCCAAATGGCAACCCATTCCCTATAAAATGCACTACACTTGACCAGGGTCCATAGGGCTCTGGTCAAAAGTAGTGCACTATTTAGGGAATAGGGTGCCATTTAGGATGCACCCAGAGTACTTCGGATAGTCTGTCTGAATAGACAGCCGGTGTGTGAGTGGCAGGGGAACAGATAGAGAGAGGGGAGAAGAGCTCAGCACATGCATATCCCTAAGAGGCCGCACAACATCAGAATATCTAACAGGCCGGCATAGAAGGCAGGGATAGAGGGATGGGGGAGGGGAAAATAGTATTTCTCTTTTGAAACTTTTGTTTGTTTAATGTTAACTGTACATTTGTGATTGTTTATTTCACTTGCTTTGGCAATGTTAATGTATGTTTCCCATGCCAATAAATCCCTTTTGAATTGGAGAGGGAGAGGGAGAGGTAGAGGTAGAGGAAGAGGGAACATGCACAGCTCCTTGGCCGAAGGACTAATGACCAGTCAGATACAGTCTGGGTCTCAGCTGTCAATCAAATACAATCACCATGGCAACATATCTGCTGCTCTAAATCTGACCCACCGTTTCTCGCAGACAAACTGACGCTGATGAAGTTTCACATTTAACTGCATAATATAATCAGAAAACGTTTTATTACAACGATACGGCTTGTTTCTGAGAATGTCTTGACGTGATGAACAAGAGCTATTTCAAGACGCTCTAATTAAATAAAATGGAATGTACCCCCTCTCTACTGGAGGACTATCGCGCTGAATTCCATTCCATTCAATTACATTACATAACATTCCGTTCCAGTCCTATCTATTTGATCAGCAGACCCTGAAGTGCTTGCAATTGCATACCATTTCCGTATTAGTAGTCAGTTATAAATCTCAGTCCATTCTGTAACACAGTCATACCCAGATGATAGCTTTACATGCTGAAGCCTTAGCACATTATTGCACACTTGGCACTCAATCCATATACACACATGAAACATAACCATACACACTATTCACTCTATGTAATGAACAAGGACAAACAGTGCCTAAGGGAAAGTATTCATACCCCTTGACTTATTCCACAATTTGTTGTGTTACAGCCTGAATTCAAAAATTGCTATTTTTTCTCACCCATCTGCACAAAGTGAAAACATGTTTTAGAAATGAAATACAGAAATATCTCATTTACATAAGTATTCACACCCCTGAGTCAATACATGTTAAAATCACCTTTGGCAACAATTACAGCTGTGAGTCTTTCTGGATAAGTCTCTAAGAGCTTTGCACACCTGTATTGTACAATATTTGCACGTTATTCTTGAAAAAATAAACGCTCTGTCAAGTTAGTTGTTGATCATTGCTAGACAGCTATTTTCAAGTCTTGTCATAGATTTTCAAGCTGATTTAAGTCAAAACTGTAACTAGGCCACTCAGGAACATTCAGTATCATCTTGGTAAGCAACTCATGTGCATATTTGGCCTTGTGTTTTAGGTTATTGTCCTGCTGAAAGGTGAATTTGTCTCCCAGTGACTGTTGGAAAGCAGACTGAACCAGGTTAAACTCTAGGATTTTGCCTGTGCTTAGATCTATTCCGTTTATTTTTATCCCCAAAAAACTCCCTAGTTTATTAAAAAAATACCTTATTTACATAAGTATTCAGACCCTTTGCTATGAGACTCGAAATTGAGCTCAGGTGCATCCTGTTTCCATTGATCATCCTTGAGATGTTTCTACAACTTGATTGGAGTCCACCTGTGGTAAATTCAATTGATTGGACATGATTTGGAGGGGCACAAACCTGTCTACATTTACATAAGTATTCAGACCCTTTACTCAGTACTTTGTTGAAGCACCTTTGGCAGCGATTAAGGCCTCGAGCCTTCTTGGTTATGACACTACAAGCTTGGCACACCTGTATTTGGGGAGTTTCTCCCATTTTTCTCTGCAGATCCTCTCAAGCTCTGTCAGGTTGGATGGGAAGCGTCGCTGCACAGCTATTTTCAGGTCTCTGTAGCTCAGCTGGTAGAGCATGGCGCTTGTAACGCCAAGGTAGTGGGTTCGATCCTCGCGTCTGCTAAATGGCATATTATATTATTATTATATTATAGATGTTTGATCGTGTTCAAGTCCGGGCTCTGGCTGGGCCACTCAAGGACATTCAGAGACTTGTCCCGAAGCCACTCCTGCGTTGTCCTGAAGCCAGGATCGTTGTCCTGTTGGAAGGTGAACCTTCAACCCAGTCTGAGGTCCTGAGTGCTCTGGAGCAGGATTTCATCAAGGATCTCTCTGTACTTTGCTCCATTCATCTTTCCCTCGATCCTGACTAGTCTCCCAGTCCCTGCCGCTGAAAGACATCCCCTCAGCAAGACGCTGCCACCACCATGCTTCACTGTAGGGATGGTGCCATCCCACGGGGGGCCAGTATGAAAAAAATTATATATATATATATATATATATATATATATATATATATATATATATATATATATATATATATATATTCACTAACTGTAAGTCACTCTGGATAAGAGCGTCTGCTAAATGACTAAAATGTAAATGTAAATGTAAATGTACCAGGGTTCCTCTTGACGTAACGCTTGGCATTCAGGGCATAGAGTTCAATCTTGGTTTCATCATCCTTTAGGTGCCCTTTGGCAAACTCCAAGTGGGCTGTCATGTGCCTTTTACTGAGTAGTGGATAAGAAATGGATTGAATACTTATTGACTCAAAAGATTTCAGCTTTTAATTTTTTATTTGTTTGTAAAAAATTATAGAAACATAATTCCACTTTGACATTATGGGGTATTGTGTGTAGGCCAATGACACAAAATCTAAATTTAATCAATTTTAAATTCAGGCTGTAACACAACAAAATGTGGAAAAAGTCAAGGGGTGTGAATATTTTCTAAAGGCACTGTATGTACCAACATATACAGGTGTGGAATCATAATTTGACCAGTTTCTTCACAGTTGTAAAATAATCCTGCAGCAGGAGGATTTGATTATTCAAAAAAAAAAGTGATACTTTTTAAACAGGAAATGTGTTTTGATAGGCTACGGTAGGCTATAGTTTAGGTGTTCCCTACGGGTGCATTTCGGATACACTTGTATGTCGTAGGGGAGACCAATATATTTTGTTATTAAGCTATATAAAATAACGGTTGTTGATGTGTATGGCTGCATTTCAGATAAATTCTGGTACATTTCAATGTCACAGTAGTAGGACCTACAGTAGAAGGACATTTATTATGTCTGGTGCTTTAGCATTTGAGCGAGAGAGAAAGAGAACTGCGGGTTTTCAATGAATTTATGTAAATCATGAGGCTCATTTGAATTTCCTGCGGTGCAGGAAAATTCTCAGCAACAACAGAGTGATCAAATTAAGATACCACATCTGTAAGTATAAGGGAAAGATGAACTCTGTAGATATTCATATGCCCCTAAAATGGATTCATCACATCAACAAATCCAGTAATACAATACTCATATTACATAATTGATTCCTGTATCACACTAGTTCTGACTGGTAAACAGTCTGCTGCATGTATGTTGCCCACAGTCCATTTTTTAAATTCTAATCTCTTTTCTCTTTGTCCACTCTCGTTCTGTCTGTCGTGTCTGTCTGTCTCTTTCTCTCTCTCTCTCTCTATCTCTCTCTCTCTATCTCGCCCTCTCTCTCTCTCAGGCCTATCTTGTACGTGTGGCAGAAGAAGGATGGAGAGCTCCCTCCGCTGGCCAAGGTGGATGGTAGTGTCCTGCGCTTTGAGATGCTCAACAAATCAGACAACGGCGTGTACCTTTGTCAGGCCGACAATGGCATCGGGAATGTGCAGGGACAGTACACACTGTTGGTGCAAGGTACTGACCATAGAAAGAGAGGAGGAGGGAGAGAAAAAGGGAGAGAGAGAGGGTGATGGTAGAGAAGCAGCTTGTCCAGGGCAGAATGTTATATTTCTTCTTCCTTCATCATTTTTTATTTATTTCTGTTGCTGTGTGGTTTCTACTACTACTTTTACTTTCACGTTTCTTTTCTGATTTTATTTACATTTATTTTCTGTTTATTTCTCTTTATCCACCACACCATCCACCTCGCGCTTCACTCCTTCGCTTTTTTGCTACACATCCATCCTGTACACCGTGCCAATGTCTCGCCTTTCTTTCTCTCTATCTACTCCTCCGCTCTAACTACCTCTCCATATTCCCTTCATGTCTTCTCCTTTATCCAAGACCTGACAGATGATTCAAACTACCTCTTCCCTACCTCTTTCTATCTACCCTCATCTTCTCCGACCTCTGACTCCCCCCCTCCCTCTCTTTTTCACGATTCTTTCTCTCAATCCCCATCTCTTATGCCAACAATGTCTGGCTCTGGGTCTGGGTTGTCTGACTCTGTGTCCCTACCTGCCACTTCTCCTCCTGCTATCTTCTCCTTCTCTATCCCTTACCCATCTGACCTCACTATCACCCCTTCTTCCCCTTCTTCCTCCTCTTCATCCCCCTCTACCTCTTCTCCCTCTCCTTCTCTCTCTCCCTCTCTCTCTCCCTCTCCTCCTCCTGTCAATGTTCCATCTACCTCTCTTTCCAACTCTCTCTTCCCTGATCTTCCACTGTCTCAGGAACCCCTTCCCCCCACATCCTCCTCCTCCTCCTCCCCCTCTTCTTCTTCCTCCTCTTCTTCCCCTCATCCTACCAGCATTACTCCCTCTGTCGCTCCCCCCTCCTCGGTCTCCCTCACTCCCTCCTCAGTTCCCATACAGCTGAATGGAGTTTACAGTTTCACAGGTAAATTATCTCAGTTACACACTCAGACAGTATGTATACACACACACACACACACTGGCATTAACAGTTGTACCGTCACGAACAAACACATTCATAGACTCTCAGAGATCCTAATAGTATCCTAATTGCACTGTGGGTAAACAAGAAATGCAGTTTGTAGAGTCTACATCAACATTGACCAGGTACACTTTACTGAGGAAGGTGTAGACATTGCATGTGACCAGGACTTCTCATCAAAGGGCATTTGGGAGTAGGGTGAAGTTCCCCCTAGACACTGATCTTGGGTCAGTTTTGCATTTCCCCCTCTAATGGCTAAGGTTAGGATTGGGAAGGGAAAGCTGATCCTAGATCTGTACCTAGGGGAAACTTTACCCCGGAGCAGGCATTTCATTTTCAACAACACTCACCCCTTCACTGTTTTCATATTTTCTATTTTTTCATTTTTCTCCTGTTTTTGTCCTCCTTCATTCTGACCCCCTTACACTCGCGTGTCCATGTCTCACTCGTCTAACCATCCATCCATCCATCCATCCATCCATCCATCCACCTCCATCTATTGAGGAGATGGTCCAGACAACATTGCAGGTATTTTTTTTCACAGTCACCTGTCTGTCTGTCTGTCTCTGTCTCAATTTGTCTGTCTGTCTGTCTGTCTCTGTCTGTCTGTCTGTCTGTCTGTCTGTCTGTCTGTCTGTCTGTCTGTCTGTCTGTCTGTCCATTTTCCTCTGCCTCAAATAAAGAAAGTAGTAGTGTGGGGACAGTGTGAACTGAACTCTCTAATAAATGCTTTCATACTCTTCTTCCCCCACATACAATGCATTCGGAAAGTATTCAGACCCCTTGACTTTTTCCACATTTTGTTACTTATTCTAAAATTGATTAAATAAAACATTTTCCTCTTCAATGTGCACACAATACCCCATAATGACAAAGCGAAAACAGGTTTTAAGAAAAGAAAAAATATATATATATTTACATAAAGATTCAGACCCTTTGCTATGAGACTCGAAATTGAGCTCAGGTGAATCCTGTTTCCATTGATCATCATTGAGATGTTTCTACAAGTTGATTGGAGTCCACCTGTGGTATATTAAATTGATTGGACATGATTTGTAAAGGCACACACCTGTCTATATAAGGTCCCACAGTTGACAGTGCATGTCAGAGCTAAAACCAAGCCATGAGGTCAAAGGAATTGTCCGTAGAGCTCTGAGACAGGATTGTGTCAAGGCACAGAACTGGGGAAGGGTACCAAAAAATGCCTGCAGCATTGAAGGTCCCCAAGAACACAGTGGCCTCCATCATTCTTAAATGGAAGAAGTTTGGAACTTCCAAGAATCTTCCTAGAGCTGGCCGCCCGGCCAAACTGAGCAATCGGGGTAGAAGGACCTTGGTCAGGGAGGTGACCAAGAACCGGATGGTCACTCTGACAGAGCTCTAGAGTTCCTCTGTGGAGATGGGAGAATCTTCCAGAAAGACAACCATCTCTGCAGCACTCCACCAATCAGGCCTTTATGGTAGAGTGGCCAGACGGAAGCCACTCCTCAGTAAAAGGCACATGACAGCCCGCTTGGAGTTTGCTAAAAGGGACCTAAAGACTCTCAGACCATGAGAAACAAGATTCTCTGGTCTGATGAAACCAAGATTGAACTCTTTGGCCTGAATGCCAAGCATCACATCTGGAGGAAACCTGGCACCATCCCTACGGTGAAGCATGGTGGTGGCAGCAGGGACTGGGAGACTAGTCAGGATCGAGGGAAAGATGAACTGCGCAAAGTACAGAGAGTCCTTGAGTGGCCCAGCCAGAGCCCTGACTTGAACCTGATCGAACATCTCTGGAGAGACCTGAAAATAGCTGTGCAGCGACGCTCCCCATCCAACCTGACGGAGCTTGAGAGGATCTTCAGAGAAGAATGGGAGAAACACCCCAAATTCAAAAAGTCAATGCGTCTGAATACTTTCCGAATTAACTGTACATATTGTTTTCTTTCTCTGACCTGCTCTCCAGCTCTCTCTCACACACACACACACACACACACCCCTCTATAGTACCCCGTACATACATAAACATGCACCTTTAAGTGGTCTGAGTCTGTAACACTGTGTGTGTGTGTAATATGCAAGGGCCAGGCTCAGGGGTTGCTGTCTTGTCTCATGGTTCCTGTCTGCGTTCCAAATGGCACCCTATTTCCTATATACGTGCACTACTTGTGACCAGATGCCTATGGGTTTCCCTATGGGCCCTTCTCAAAAGTAGTGCATTATGTAGGATATATGGTTCCATTTGGGACACCGTCCCTGTCTCATTTCCCTGGTGGTGCTGACAGCAGGATTTATGTGTTAATTCACAATACTGCCTCCTCAGCAAGGACTCTCTCTCTCTTTCACCTCCTCACTGGTCTCCCCCCTGCCGTGCTTCTCTCTCTTCTCTCTGACGGACGCTACCAGTCAGGGGCCTCCCTCTCTCCTCTCTCTCCTCCTCTCCTCCCATGTGTTTGGCTCTTGGTTGGCTGTGGCTGCGTCCCAAATGTCATCCTATTGCCTGTGTAGTGCACTACTTTGGACCAGAGCCCATAAGGATCACCATAGGGCTCTGGTCAAAAGCAGTGCACTACATAGGGAATAGGATGACATTTGTGACACAGACTGTTGGCTGTGTCCCTCTTATCTCTCTCCCTTGGTTTCTTATCAAGGCATCGTGTGGTGGTGCCACTCAATTTACTAGAATCCTCTGTATCGTCCTTTTGTATCTCAGTCTCTCTGTGCTTTATGTGTTATAGTCTTTGGTCTTACAGTTCTATAGCTACATCTGGGTGACTGTCTGTCAACGTGACAGTGGGTTTGATAGAGGGTTTGAACCAAAGCCATGCAAAGTTAAAGAGGTGTTTAGTGAGCTACCAGATACAATTAAAATCATATTTTCTGTGGAAGAGAGAGTGGTGTAGTTTGATGATAAGCCCCTAACATACGCTAAGCACTCCGCCTGGTAGATTATGGGATCGTCCCAAATGGCACCGAATTCCCTATGTAGTGGGCCCTGGTCAAAAGTAGTGCACTATGTTGGGAATAGGGTGCCATTTAAGACACAGCCTACATTACACATCACCCACATGAGGAAAACTTCTAGCAAAGGTCCCCATGGATGCATAAAGGAATGTGCTTTATACTTTTAATGACTTTTTTATGTTCCATTCGGTTTAATGCATCTGGTGTATTCATGCGTTTTTTTATTTTGCATGGCTTTCTCATCCCTTTCTTTGGGTTTAGTTTAGTTTGTAATGTTTCCGTTTTTAGACTAATGCTGTGTCTTTCCCTCTTATCTCTCCTCTCTCTCCCTTTCTCTCTGCCTTTCTCTCTGCCTTTCTCTCTGCCTTTCTCTCTCCTTTTCTCTCTCCCTTTCTCTCTCCCTTTCTCTCTCCCTTTCTCTCTGCCTTTCTCTCTGCCTTTCTCTCTCCCTTTCTCTCTCCCTTTCTCTCTCCCCTTCTCTCTCCCCTTCTCTCTCCTTTTCTCTCTCCCTTTCTCTCTCCCTTTCTCTCTGCCTTTCTCTCTCCCTTTCTCTCTCCCTTTCTCTCTGCCTTTCTCTCTCCCTTTCTCTCTCCCTTTCTCTCTCCCTTCCTCTTCTCTCTCCCTTTCTCTCTCTTCTGTCCCTCTCCCTTTCTCTCTCTCTGTCTCACTCTCTCTATATATATCTGTCTCTCTCCCTTCTGTCCCTCTCTTTCCTCTCTCGTCCCCTCTCTCTCTCTTGCTCTCTCCCTATTCTGTCTCTCTCGTTCTCTCTCTCTCTCTCTCTCTCCCCCTCTTGTCTTTCTCCCTCTCTCTCGCTCTCTCTCGCTCAGACCCCACTGCCATGTCTACCTCTTCAGGAGTGGACCATGCTGTGATTGGAGGAGTGGTGGCGGTCATCGTCTTCATCCTGCTCTGTCTTCTCATCGTCTTGGGCAGATACCTCATCAGACACAAAGGTGACCCTTGACCCTTACCTTAACATATACCCCCACTCAAGAGGAGGCTCTTGGGAGGAGCTATAGGAGGACGGGCTCATTGTAATGGCTGGAATTGAATCAATGCAACAGTATCAAACATATGGAAACCACATTTGACTTCGTTCCATTTATTCCATTCCAGCCATTATAATGAGCCCATCCTCCTATAGCTTCTGCCACCAGCCTCCACTGCCCCACTCATAATCACTTCTCATTCCCCTCCAAGACCATTGCTTTTCTAATTCAAGTGTAGTCATTGTAGTTATTTCACTATTTCTCCATAGTTCAATTTCCTCTCCACTGCTACTCTAGGATGGGCACCAGTCTGTTTGTGCTAACATTCTGCTCCTTGCCACTCCATGTCATGGCAAACATGTTTGCCATGTATGTTTGGCATATGACACATAGTACAAAGAGTGGAATGTTAGCAGAAAACTGGTCTGTATTTCAGGCTACTGCTACTCTACTTCCATTGATTCCAAACCCAGTGTTATCATTACAGAGATTCTATATGTAATTCTGTGGTTGTTATCACTCCACTCCAAGCCCATTGTGATACGCTACATCTCTCCACTCCTACATCACTTATTCTGTAACCTCTGACCCTAGGGTCTGTCTGTGTCTGTATCCACAGGGACATATCTTACCCATGGCGCACCCACAAACACACACGCACGGACACCCGCAGGCACGCACACGCACACACCTCTGACCCACGGTCTGTCTGTGTCCACAGGGACATATCTTACCCATGAGGCAAAGGGCTCCGACGATGCTCCCGATGCCGACACGGCTATCATCAATGCCGAGGGCGGCCATTCCGGAGCGGAGGACAAGAAAGAGTACTTCATCTAGGGAGGGGTTGGGGAGGGGGGAGAGGAGCGCCTCCATTTGTCTTCACAAGCTTCAGTTCTTCACAGCAGCCAGAGGGGGAGGAGTAGGGGACAGACAGACAGACAGACAGACAGGGCAATGGGGAAATGGAAGGAAATATAAGATTCAGAAGTACTGAGACTGACAAGAAAAACAGAAAAGCTTCACCTGGTAGGCCTGTATTGAAAACAGGGAAGTGCGATTATTTGCATTTATATACATGACCTCATGTCCACTGACACACACACACACACTACGCGTTACGTTTCACTGACACACTGTTACGAGACACACGTCCTATTCATGCACACATGAACATCCAAACCTACACATGTAACATGATCATAGTAATGCATAGTAATGTTCGATTTCTTGATTGAAGAGGAAAAACATTTTTTTTATACATACAGTACATATACATGTTTCATTAACATTCAACTGTCAGTGACACAAATGCAAAATTGTGCTCCACATATTATTGCAAAATTGTAATTGACATTCAAGCATGTCATGCTGAAATACAGTTTCAGATCCCCAAACACTGTCCCCCATCCATTTATCCATACCACTCCTCCCACTCATCTGTCTTTCATTTTCCCTTTTTCGTTCTCTCTATTCTATCACTCCCCACATAGACTCCTACAGACCAGGACACACACTATACGACATTCTTCTATTCAGAATTCAGAAATCTGTCTAAAATCAATCAACAACTGCTGTACATAACCTCTCTCTCTTTCCCGTCTCTCTCTGTCACATATATACACACACACACACACACACACTACCCAAACACACACACTACCACACACACACACACACACACACACACAAACAAACAAACAAACAAACAAACAAGCAAGCAGACAAATACAAGCCCTATTCCCTACATAGTGCATTACTTTTGACCAGGGCCCATTATAACATGAGGGCAACAGAATCTAAACACATCACAATACAATGCAACAGGGGTTCTCAAAGTATGAATATTACTAACAACAACAGATTAAACTAATTTTGGCCAAGGGATCCGTGGAATAAGTTTAGAGGGTGTAATACAATACAATGTAATATTATGAATCTACAATTCATGAATCTACAAAAATAGTTATTGTATTCCCCCAATGTTTTTTCTTTTTTTTTTTTTACATAAATGCACTGTAATTTAAGCTGTAAAACTGCTAAGTTCTCTCTGCCTCATGTCAACATTTGTAGAATTGCAGGATATTACATTTAAAGCTGCAACAGAAAGAACTCTCTCTGCCCCATGATGAAATGTGTAGAATTGCAGGAAATGAGCATGAAAACTGCTATGTTTTCTCTCCGATGCCAAGAGGCGGGCCTTTAAAATGTTGCTTTCCAGGGCCTGAGACATGATTCGTCCAGTCATGCACTGCCGAAGTCATAGTAAAACTAATTGTATGCTAAATTTATCTAACTCGAGTTGTGTTCTGATTATGAATTTGCTATCACAAAAGGGGTCCCTGGATACAATACAATACAACCCCTACACAGTACCACACAACACACCCCATGCAAAAACAGCATCCCTGTACGGTCACAGTGCGGGATTCCGATATAAATATATAAATATATATATATATATAATTATATAGCATTCTTTTTACTCAGAAAACAAAAAAAGGTTTGGTGTTCTGTAAATACACTATAATTTCCTCTCTCTCTCTTTCTCACCCCTCCTCTCTCTCTTTCTCTCTCGCTCTATCTCCTCCCCCTCCTACCCTACATGTCCCTCCGTCTGTTACTAACTGCAGTACAGTATATAATCTAAAGCCTGCCTGTTTTTACTAATACTGAGTGAAAAATATCAATATCTCAGAAAATTTATGTTGCAATGAAAACTTAAAAGTACTACAAATATTTGGATGAATTCTGTTTTGATCCTTCTGTTTTGATTATTTTGTTCTGGTGTTTACTTACTGTCAGTGTTAACTGTTTTCAGTGTCTGTTGGTCAGTCCAGGAGTTCATATTGTTATGATTTAATTATGATTATGACTATCTTCTGCTATCTGTTTTCTTTATTTCGGTTGTTATCACTGAGTGGTAATGTAGTAGCTCTAATGAATATAATTATACCACATCGCTTCTATCCTGCTGCTGCATTCTGGAATGCTCTCTCTGGCCAACCACCAGCTAGTAAACTCATGCTGTAATGACATCACTTAATGTAAGAGGCTAATACAGTCACTGCACCTTTTAAAATGACATCATTCCCTGCAATCTAATTAAAGAGGCCAGCCAGGTTTGCAGGCAGCAGTTAACCAGGGTACAGTTCAGTGGGCAGGGCACTCTCTGCTTCAGGCATACATACTGACACTGAACTTCATCTCTCTCTCTCTCTCTCTCTCTCTACTGATCTACTCTCGCTCTATAGCTAGCTCGCTGAGAGATCTACTCTCTCTCATCTCTTACTATCTCTATTAGCTCTCTCTCCTCTCTCTCTCTCTCTCTCTCTCTCTCTCTCTCTCTCTCTCTCTCTGAGCTTTCTCATAATTTTATTTACCAGTCTCCCACACACACTCATTTAAATAATGTCATAACTAGCTAGAGCATTACTAGATTTGCTCGCTCAGTGAGCTATTGTCCAATGCGGCCTGCCAACGCGCTAGCCTGACGTCTGGCTGGACACCAGGGGTCCGTTCTGTTGCTGTTGTTATAGAATTGTCATACCAGTAGACAGTTAATTCCATCTGTGGTCGTTTTGTACACCTAGGGAATGATCAGGGATTGCTTCCATCTCATCCCCCATTGCCATTTTGCCACTGGGCTGTTGTGAATGGGAATAGCCATAGAGATAATAGAGCCACATCCTATCTATACCATGGCCTCTTCTGTGACAGCATGGGCAGCACCATTGAGCCCTCTATCCATTTCTATGCGATCTCTATGGGAATAGCTGGTCTAGTGAGTCTTTTGTCATAATAAACTACAGTATACAGCCTCTGGGGAGAGAAAGAGATGTCTGCAGACCGAAATGGGGGCATTGTGTCAGTCACTCACAATGCGTTTATTTGGCTCGCTCACTTTTTCCATTTGATGAGTTGCATTTTCTAGGTAATCCCAATTTTACGTAACCTTTGACCTTTTAACTGATGACGAGGTGGAACCAGGAATGTCTGAACGAAGGATAATAGTAGGCCTACTTACTGTATGTTTCGAACTGGACCTGTATTTGCTCATATCTAGCGTCCTGTCCTAGCTGTATAAGTTATGTGATCGCATGAAAAGGCTGCATGAGAAATGGTGGAGCATACTATAGCTTTGACCAACCATGAGAACCGTTGTTGACAAGCCCCTATATGAGACGACCAACCGACTGATGGAGGTGTTTGATGGCTTGTCCATAGAATTAGAATCATAGTCATATGGGCTTTCCCTACTCCCCAGTCTGCAGACATCTATTATATTCTAGAACACTCCACAACTGCATATGTGTGCAGTTACAGCTTTCTGCCACCAGGTGTCAGTGACAAGCATCTGTTTTTCTTGCTTTGGACCACGCTGTCTTACCCCTATTTACATTTTAGTCATTTAGCAGACGCTCTTATCCATGTTTTTTTATTTTTCATAAGTGGGAATTGAACCCACAACCCTGGCATTGCAAACACCATGCTCTACCAACTGAGCTACATCCCTGCTGGCCATTCCCTCCCCTACCCTGGACGACGCTGTTGTGCACCGCCCCATGGGTCTCCCGGTCGCGGCCGGCTACGACAGAGCCTGGATTCGAACCAGGATCTCTAGTGGCACAGCTAGCACTGCGATGCAGTGCCTTAGACCACTGCGCCACTCAGGAGGTATCTATCACCTGTCCACCTTTCTGATCTCTTTCCTGTACCAGTGGTGGGGGAAATCTCTTTCTCCACTGCTCTCTCTCTTCTTATTTTGTAGTATGTTATCTTCAAGAATAGATTTAAAAATTATGTTTATTTTTTAAAGAAAGGTGTGCATACTTTTAAATGTATTACTTTCAATTCAATTGATAATCATTTTTTTCTTTTTTTATGAATAGATGTTCAATATTTGAAGGTTAGAGAGTAGTTTGGCGTATCTTATTGTTTCGACATCCGCCATTTCTATATAATTTCATGTATATAGTGTTGCCTTTACTAGTTATTTTTACAAGCACACTGATACACGCACACACATATGCATGGGGTACATGTGGTCTGTGACTACAGTGTGTTGGTGCGTGCCTGTGTGTGTGTGTGTGTTTGTGTATGAGTGTGAGGTGTGTATAATGATTGACCCAAACAGACTTCGGAGACACTGGATGCGTCCCAAATGGCACCCTATTCCCTATGTACTGCACTACTTTTGACCAGGCCTCATAGCCCTTCCCATAGGACTCTGGTAAAAAGTAGTGCACTATATAGAAAATAGGGTGCCATTTGGGGACGTAGACACTATCTGTGTTATTTTCCACAAAATGTTATTATTTCAATGACGAGTCTACTTTGTTAGCGTTCTTTTTGGATGATAAGTCTTCCTTTTGAATAACTATCCATATCACATGGGAATAGTGCTGTCATGGATGTTACCTAATTTGTACTATGGCTAATGATGTCATCAAGGCAGGACTGCACTAGGGTGATGATGTCATAATGCTGAGTTCTGTCTCCGTTGGCTGTTCTAATCTGTTCATACAGTATTAGCATTTTTGTTACTATACCGATTCAGTTGTTGACTTCAAATAAACATGCATTTGGGTTAACTTCATTTTGTCATTATAATTATTATCTATCCTCCTATCACACTTGTTGTGTAACCAATGGCTGTGTCTGTCAGTCACAATCCTCACAATTGATGTTGCATTATGTACATTCTGTGTGTCCCAAATGACACCCTATTCCCTATATAGTGCACTACTTCTGACCAGAGCCTATTGGGCTCTCTCCAAATGTAGTGCACTCACTATAAGGTGTCATTTGGGACAGGCCCCTCTGTCTCCTTTGTT